ACATTATGGATATGAGCTATTTTGCCTTCATAGCAGTTACTTGTTCTACTCCTAATTCAGCAAATAAGTCTCATCAAGTCTTATTTAAGAGGGTCATAATAAGTGCCAGTGAGGAAACATGATAGATTCTTTTATCCCCATCTTCATCTGATACATGACAGATCAAAGCCTCTAATAGCTAAACCTCAGGACCACCACACTAGCGACATTAAAGATAATGGTGCCCTCAACAAATAGGTCCACAGGTAAGTAGGCAGCTAATTAATTGCAGAAGTCTTCAAGAAGGTGAGTCAACTCAATGTCCTCTACTATTTCTATAATGCATTATAATAAGAAAAGCTAAACCACCAACTCCAATTTTATTGACTTCATGTGCCATGAATTAATTACACACAAGGTGCTTCAAAGTTACATCAATACTTTGCCTTAGAACTGTTGAGAAATTCCAAGCTAGAAATTAGCAACCTAACCTAAGTCAACACTATCTGACAAAATCAGCATATTAAATCAAACTAGCACTACAAATTCTCTAAAGTCCATAAAAGTGAATTGACATATAGAATGCACCAAATCAAGTTTGCACTTGTTATATTTTAAACCAAGCAAGGTTTGTCAATACATGATAAAAAAAATCACCACCAAAGAAAAAATGGTTTGTGCGAAATTGTCTAGTTTGAATTAATTCCAAAAAGTTTCTACAGTGGTGTTTTTTACATATCATAAAGAACTTCTGAAATAGTTTCATGTGTTCAGATTGTAGAGAGATGGCAACTGATAAGCTCCCATCGTTTGTAGGGCTTGGCAAGATAAATGATAAACCCTCGTATGCAATCCCACCGGGCCCCATAAATATGGGTCGACCCCACCCAAAATCCGCATCATGTATTGGCAGTCTAACCCAACTAGTAATCCCAAGATTTGGACACCTAAATGTATGGGCACCACGAACTAATGCTGATAAATCAGGCTGAAGCTCTAGGTAATCAAGGGCGACCTTAAATAGTCATTGTCCATTCGAACCAATGCATCATGAATACGACCTGCAGCATACCTGTAGGCTTTGACTGGAGATCACCTGCTACTGCTATTGGTGTGGCTGTAAATATCACATTTCCAAAGTAACCAGGAGGAAGGGGGGGATTAATCTAGCACGTCCGTCTGTTGCTATGTACAATTTACTCTCTTGATCATCAGATAGTCCACGTGCCTTGCATGCAGATCTCCACACATGACCCCAGCATCTCATATGAGCTATAGTTGATAGTGTTACCATCTCTTTGGCTTGGCTTTGAGGATGTTGAGCTGGTCCCGTGTCAATTTGAAAATGGATACAGCTGTAGGCTCAGAAACTGATGGCAGAGGATTTTCAAGACAGGAGGTGGCTGGTATTCAATGTGTTGGAAAGTAGGTTGAGGCGGATCCCGGGCCCGGAGCAAAGTTCGGTCGATGAACGGTGGGATGGTAACATCAAGACCGCGACATGTCTGACCTGTGTCACAAAGTGGAGACCAGAAAATCCATCTGCTGCATGGTGTTGCATACCACACCAAGTGAAACTCCACCACATTTGAAGTGAGTGACCTGCAGAAAATGAAAATGCCTTGGTTGGTGAGCTAGAGTTCCATGGCTCAAATTGACTGTAGTGATTTGAATTTGGTTGGTGTACAATTACTCGTTAAGCGTTTTAGTTCAATTTGGTAGTGTGTCCCCAAATGGGTTTCAGCTATAACCTAAGCGAAATTGGCATGTAAAAACCACTGAAAGATTTTTATAAACTTGAAATCATTCTCAATGTTCCAATGAGAAAATCTCAACCCAGACATATATATTATAAGTCTTAGTTATGCCTAGATAACAAAAAGTAAAATCAGAGAAACCAGAATCCAAACTCATGCTTTCATTATTGCCTTAAGAGCAACTTGTATGTATAATCCACAGTTCACAGACCATAAAGACATGACAAACGAACTCACCAAAAAAACCATGTTTAGTGATAAGTTTGCAAGTATTATTTCAATCCTGTGTCTTCCCAGGTTCGTCTTCTTTGTTATGTAGCTAATGCTTTACAGTCTTTATTTTTATTTTTATAAAATTTTATAAGACGCTGTTAAAGTATAATAAACAAGATATGAGTAGGTACCTAAATGGACTAGAAATCCAGAAAGAGATCAAAAATCCAAAACTAGACAGTGGCAAAATATGTAAAAGATAATATTCCCTTCCCTGTGCCAAAATAAATAAACTATACAAAGTTCGCCCAAACTCCCTCTCAATTAAGTATGAAGAAAAAAAAGTCCTTAGATTCCTTAAATGTTGAGTGACCTGCGTATTAAACTCCCTCCTTTATTTCCTCAGGCTCGCCTAAGTTTCAGATTCAGGGCCTATATATAGGAAAAAAACACTTTGATAACAGGTCTTTTCTTACCTTGGTGAATGGTGAGGTAAAAGTTGTTTGAAGATGCATAAGCTTGTTTCATATCAAAAAAAGCAAAAAAATGTCGACAGGAAGAAATTATCAATTTTTTTCTCCTTAGGGGGGACAGGAAGAATTATCATTTTCGGTGACAGAAGCAATTAGGGACCAAGTTGGTTAGATGCTTAAGATAAACGTATGTTAGGTGACATCATCGCTTCATGGTGATAGTACCAATTTCATTTATGTGGGCATGTGTTAGGAAAGCAATAGGTGGTGTGCAATCATCAAGATCAATAACAAGGTGCCTGTGCAATTCATTGTCTCTACCTTCCTAAAGCAAAATCATTAAATTATAATTTTGAAATGCAGTATCATTAAATTGTACAACGACACGGTTGCTTGAAAGTTATGAAAGTATAGTCACAATAAGAAGAGCTCTCAATATGAATGTGTTGAAAAAATATGAAAGATGCACCATCTCAACACACAAGAACACTAATATAAGCATCAACCCAGTTTCTACATTCATTTGTTGATGTGACATTTTAACCTATTTGTTATCACCTTAACCCCCATTAGAGGAAATGTTATGCATCCACCAATAGAAAGAACAGGATTGGTCTCTAACCTATTTGGAAAAAGACTTGCTCTATTTCATTTCATGGCAAATTGTTCAATACTTAAAACTACGACTTCCTATAACATAGACGGGTATATATGAAATTCAGTGACTACTTGAATCGTAAGAACCGGTACTATGAACTGCAAGCCTGTATATCACTCAAAAAGTATTCGAAAGCCTTTTCATAAATAACTGTTATTTTCCTGCTTTTAAATAAACTCGTAGAACTTCTCCATTCCACAGTAAATCAAGTATATATGAAGTTCGCATTTGCTATTATAATCATAACAAATACTAAAAAAGGCACTTAAAAGCATTTGACGATTTGAAAGAGCTTTTCATATTATGGAAAATAATTCCCCTGCTCAAGATATCTTATTATCCCAAACTTTTCCGCCACTAATCCATCACAAACATCAACTAAGCTCATTAAAATGTGGTTTCTATTCAAGTAAGCTAATTAAAACTGGAATTAGTTGGAGTAATATCAAACACACTATATTCTTGTTTCACATTCTATTACTTCAAATATTCTATCCTAAGATATCTGTCCAAAGTCTTTTCTCCATCCATCCAGCTCATAACTACCAACCACCTAAGACGCACCAAATTTTAGCCCTTTAATAGCCCTATTAAATGCAAGAAACATCAAAATAATTGAGTAAGCCATAACTATAAAGAATAAACTACACATACAATATTTTTATACAATTTAGTGACAAAAGATGATTAGGTGAAAACTTAATTTTAATTTAAAATCAGTCAATCATATTTACCACAATGTTGTATGAGAAACTTTGTATATGTAGTATTACTCATATATAAACAATGATCACCACAACTTTCATTAAAAATAATACTACATATCAAAACTCATCCATACAAACTGACATGTTTAAATGTAATTGGATGATTTTGAATTAGTGATAAATTAAATAATTAAAGATATGATGTGTCAAACATGCAAATAGCCACCCATGAATGAGTTTGTATAAAGTTTGTATATGTAGTATAACTCGGGAAAATCAGATCCTCAAATAACCAAACAAACGTCTGAAGAACCAGAAACAATCACTATCAGAAAACAGCAACCATCATAGTAGGGGACAACCTTACCGTGACAAGTTTTTTCCAGCCTTAATTATCACCCGCAATCTTACAACAATAACATTCAATATCACACTTAGAACTTACATGACTCCTAAGGGATGGCTATATTGCCAAACCCAGTAACGTTACCTAACAATCCAAATTACCAATCCGGCAACAATAGCACACCAGTAACACACTATGCCCCACCCCAAAAGTCAATGTTTAGGTAAAACGTAAAGTCTAGTAACATTTGCTATATTTATACCTTAATAATCATTGCGACAACGACCCGGCACCGTAGCACAGTAAACAAATCCAAGAAGTAACCTTGATGGTAAATTGATATAAGGAAAGGAAAAAATTTAAAAGTACCTGTAACACCAATAGGGGATACGTAGAGATCCCGCCGGAGTAATCCACCGTCGGAATGAGCTGCTTGAGCTCCAAAGTGGGCGCAAAGTCACCAAAATCATCAACAACAGAAGGGGTTTCGGCCTCAACAACAAGACTCCTGCACAAACTTTTTAAGTCCAGTGGGTACATCGCAAGCTTCAGAAGTTCAGATTTTGAAGTCAATCACTGCTACAGTGAAAATTACAGCACCTGAGACACATGAATAATAATCTAACAAAATGCTATCTTTAAGCTACTGCAATTTGGACCGTCTTTTCTGTTCATAATATATTTATACTATTAAAATAAACCGAAAGTTCCTTTTACACTATCTTGATGTTTACTAGAACACCCTGGTAACCTGTATGAGTCACTCATTTTGATTCCATCTGAAAAGAACAGCATATTTCATATCATTTCCATTCACTCTCTACAGGAAACCTGAACCCCATATAATATAACATCTCACAGGCTTGTTAGAACAGCTCAACCATACCCTAAAAACCTCTCCAATCATCCCCTAAAAGTTTCCATAACCAAAGAAAATTAGAAAAATAAATAAAAGATCCAAAGACTGTAAATGGAGGTAAGGTTTCTCGCATGGTTCTTATTTATATTGTGTACTCTTTGTTTAACATGTTTGGGGTTTGAAGGCTTTCCCACATCAAAAGTTGAAGATTTCAATCTTACGGAACCAAAATTTGGAGGACAGCTTCATGGTATGCAATCTTCTTTTTTATATAGTTTTTGTATAGAGAGAGCTAAAAAAAATTTCTCCAGAGTGGTTAATGATTCATCGGTTTTTCGACAGTGAGACATGCAGCTGCAAATATCTCAATTGGATTATATGCAGAAAGCGAAAGAAGAGGATTAGAGGGAAATCATGATATTATTAATGAAAGAAAGGGACAGAAAGGAAAGGGAACCTATGGCGGTGGAAATCCGGCTCATCATCCACGCAAAAATAGAAGTCCAGCTTCACTATCATCAACTATTTGTTTCATGTCTACTGTTGTGATAAACATAAGCTTGGCAGCTTTCTTAGTAATATTGCTGCTTGGGGTGTTTTAACCTTCAATAAGCAACTCTTATCAACCAACAGGCCAACACTAAGAAGGCCTGCCTATCTATCAATAGTTTCTGGGATTTTATTTGTTTCATGAGCATCTCTCCTTTTCATTCATGGAAAGCCATCATGTTATAATGTGAGCAAGGTTTGTGATAAATTCTTATTATTTTATTAAATAGTGTTTTAAGGCTACTCTCTCAATTTAAATTATGCGTCATCCACAATTACGTTTTTATCGCTTATAACTCATGGACAATATTATATTTATAATCCAATTTTATAAACTTTCTCTTAAAATCTTGACGTGATAATTTGTAATGAGTCTCGTTTTTCTAATTACGTGTCCCATCTATCCAATTATAAACGGACTAATTGCAAATTGACACGTTAACACATCGGTGAAAAAAAGTTTATAAAATTGAGTTGTGATAACCCGTTGCTTCATAAGTCAAAAGCAAGAACTTCGGGTTAACAATTTGGCCCGGCCTTAATAGCATGACCAAAGCTAAAAACGAAAGGAATGAGAATACACTGTGGGCTACAAATCTTAAAAGGACCAAGACCTAATTAAAGAGTATTTGTTATTTTAGATTGACCTTTCATTGAATTTCTTTGGTTTTTTACAATTTCAAATAAAAGATTATTAAAAAAGACTATTCACATGAAAACATTTTTTTTTTAATCAGTTTCTTTTAAATTTTTTTTTTTTTTTTTTTTTTAAAGAATGATGCTCTTGGCCTCCCTACATTTGATCTCTTTAGACCCCAATTATTATTAAATTTTTAATTACAATTTTGTCCCTTTTAAAATTATTAAATAAGATATAAGAAAGTTATACGTATCTAAAAATTTTGTTTTCTCTCTCAATCTTAATCCCTAATTATATTTTCAAATAATGAGGATGAAATTTATACAATTGAAAAAGTTTGATCAAAATTATATAAGTACAATGAAATTGGAATTTATGTTTTTCAATTGTAAGTTATTTTATTAATTTTTCCTTACATTTTTCTTCTTTTCCACTTCTCTAAAATTTATAAGTTAATTTGGTGCATTCAAATTTATCACTAGGAGTCATATCATGTGATTTATGACAATCAGCATATTTTTGTACCAAAGTAGCGAATAATTTTGAGTTTGTGTTGGTGTTGGCAAGGGCGGAACCAGGAATTTAGTTTGGGTAGGGCTGAAAGTATTTTCAAAATATAGATATATTGGATGAATATTGATGGTTCAAAAACATTTCATTAATTGAAAATAATCATACTTTAGGGGATAATATGTAAATAGTGGTTGTCTTCTAAATTCTAATATGTAGAGATTATGATTTTTCTTTATTCAAGACTGATAAAATAGAATATTTTTTCTTTAATGTTAGGGAGTGATGAACTATAAATATGTATATAAAATAAATTGTTTTTATTTTCTTGTAATAAGTGGCCTTTTAACTATATAAAGATTATTATATTGTTCTTTAAAACAATTCTTTAGGTGGCTTTCTTGAAATTGGACTGATATGGTAAAGATAAAAACTTTAGGATCAACAAAAAACTCAGTCAATTTAATATAATAATTAAAAAATATATATATATATATATATGATCCAGGCAGTAGCCCGGGTCAGCGACTCTGCAATACACCAGTGACTGGTTCGCCCGTGTTGGAAATACAGTAAGATTAACTTTAAAAAAATAAAATAAAATGATTTTGGAAAAGCCTTTCTGCTTTACTTGCATAATAAATTAATAATAGCTACTTTGGGCTCTTTAAATGAATTAGTATCGAACAGACTAACCCTTTTAACAAAGTTCCGATTTCATTCCTTTTTAGCCCATTTATTAATACAATAATCCCTCTTTTGGGCCTCTGTCATGAAGTCCATATTTACGATCATGTCTCTATTGGCCCCATTTTAGAAATAACTACCTACATTTCTATCAGGATAACTACCAATAAATTTACCAAGTGATTGAAAAAATGAATATAACTTGAATTAAAAAAAAAAATTGAATCTCTAATAAATCAATAAATAGAAAATATGCATTTTTTTATTATAAAAGTACAAAATTTTCAAACCTAAAAATATTATTTTCAATTTTTAATCTTATGTATATTAAGATTTCAAAGTAAATTCTTAGTATATGTAAAGAGGATTTTGAGATTCTTCAAAAAAATAAAAATATGAAGATAGGCCCGAAATGTCAAGAATATAAAACTCATTAATTACATATTTGAAATTCAACATGGAATTAATGTCGTCTAAGTAAGAAATTAAAGTTAGTGTAATTAATTATTAGGAGCATTAATAAAATTTGTCAAAATAATGTCCTTTATGAAGGAGTAAACGACTCTTTTAGGTTTGCCTTAATGACACGTTTCCTCCAAAAAGTTTCAAAATATCACTTTCTTACCCAAAGTTTATATTCTGTTAATACCCAAAATACACTTCACTTTCTCAGCCGGGGTTCAACGATTTACTAGAAGCCAAGGTAAGAGGAGTTTTGTAGAGTAGAGGCCGATGGATCGAATAGCAGTGATCGATTGAATATTTGCTGCTAGAAATCAACTAAAAAAAGGAAACCTTAGCTTTGAAATGGTCGACAATTGACGAAAAATCAGGTGCCGAAGTGAGAGAGGTTTTATAGAGAGCAGACTAGAGGTTCAAGTTGTGGTGATAGAAAGAATTTTCGTCGTTGAAATCAGCTTTGGATATTAATAGAATATTAACTTTGGGTGAGAAAGTAGTATTTTGAAACTTCTTGGGTAGGAAAGTGTTATTAAGGAAAACATTGGTTTGGGAAAAAGTCGTTTACTCTTATAATAATTACTTTTTTTCAAGATTAAATATATCAAAATTAACAAATAAGAACTATTAAGAAAGGTCAGAGCTAAATATCAGAACTCATGTATATATCATAAGCTTGGCAGCTTCTATAGTTGTTTTGGTGCTTCATGTCTTCACTTCCAATAGCTTTAGCAACTTTTTATCAACTTTCAATTGTTTTTGGGAATTTGTTTCATGAGCCAACCAGGATAATGTGTGATTTGCTCTTTCAACTTTTATGGATAAGATGAGGATGGATTAGATCTTAAGTCTTAACCACCCCTTTTTATTAATGTCAAAAACAAACCTAGATTTCTTTTGGGTTAAAGTCCTGACGGTAGATTGTCTACCATTACCATACAGCGGATGCACCGACAAACGTCCAATGAGATCATTGGATGGTTGATCTAATTGGAAGGTTGGCGGTGCAGATTGCGGGGTAGATTTTGCTTTAGCCAGCCGCCAGGTACCTAGTACTATTAACCTGTTTAAGTAGAACCAATAATCCTACCACCACCTAATTAAACTACAAAACATTATGGATATGAGCTATTTTTGCCTTCATAGCAGTTACTTGTTCTACTCCTAATTCAGCAAATAAGTCTCATCAAGTCTTATTTAAGAGGGTTCATAATAAGTGCCAGTGAGGAAATATGATAGATTCTTTTATCCCCCATCTTCATCTGATACATGACTGATCAAAGCTTCTAATAGCTAAACCTCAGGACCACCACACTAGCGACAGTAAAAGATAATGGTGTCCTTAACAAATAGGTCCACAGGTAAGTAGGCAGCTCATCCATGAGAAATCAAATTAATTGCAGAAGTCTTCAAGAAGGTGAGTCAACTCAATGTCCTCTACTATTTCTATAATAGCATTATTAATAAAGAAAAAGCTAAACCACCAACTCCCAATTTTATTAACTTCATATGCCCATGAATTAATTACACACAAGGTGCTTCAAAGTTACATCAATATGTTGCCTTAGAACTGTTGAGAAATTCCAAGCTAGAAATTAGCAACCTAACCTAAGTCAACACTATCTGACAAAATCAGCATCATTAAATCAAACTAGCACTACAAATTCTCTAAAGTCCATAAAAGTGAATTGACATATAGAATGCACCAAATCAAGTTTGCACTTGTTATATTTTAAACCAAGCAAGGTTTGTCAATACATGATAAAAAAAATCACCACCAAAGAAAAAATGGTTTGTGCGAAATTGTCTAGTTTGAATTAATTCCAAAAAGTTTCTACAGTGGTGTTTTTTAAATATCATAAAAGAACTTCTGAAATAGTTTCATGTGTTCAGATTGTAGAGAGATGGCAACTGATAAGCTCCCATCGTTTGTAGGGCTTGGCAAGATAAATGATAAACCCTCGTATGCAATCCCACCGGGCCCCATAAATATGGGTCGACCCCACCCAAAATCCGCATCATGTATTGGCAGTCTAACCCAACTAGTAATCCCAAGATTTGGACACCTAAATGTATGGGCACCACGAACTAATGCTGATAAATCAGGCTGAAGCTCTAGGTAATCAAGGGCTGACCTTAAATAGTCATTGTCCATTCGAACCAATGCATCATGAATACGACCTGCAGCATACCATGTAGGCTTTGACTGGAGATCACCTGCTACTGCTATTGGTGTGGCCGTAAATATCACATTTCCAAAGTAACCAGGAGGAAGGGGGGGGATTAATCTAGCACGTCCGTCTGTTGCTATGTACAATTTACTCTCTTGATCATCAGATAGTCCACGTGCCTTGCATGCAGATCTCCACACATGACCCGCCAGCATCTCATATGAGCTATAGTTGATAGTGTTACCATCTTCTTTGGCCTTGGCTTTGAGGATGTTGAGCTGGTCCCGTGTCAATTTGAAAATGGAGACAGCTGTAGGCTCAGAAACTGATGGCAGAGGAGTTTTCAAGACAGGAGGTGCCTGGTATTCAATGTGTTGGAAAGTAGGTTGAGGCGGATCCCGGGCCCGGAGCAAAGTTCGGTCGATGAACGGTGGGATGGTAACATCAAGACCGCGAGCAATGTCTGACCATGTGTTCACAAAGTGGAGACCAGAAAATCCATCTGCTGCATGGTGTTGCATACCAACACCAAGTGAAACTCCACCACATTTGAAGTGAGTGACCTGCAGAAAATGAAAATGCCTTGGTTGGTGAGCTAGAGTTCCAATGGCTCAAATTGACTGTAGTGATTTGAATTTGGTTGGTGTACAATTACTCGTTAAGCGTTTTAGTTCAATTTTGGTAGTGTGTCCCCAAATGGGTTTCAGCTATAACCTAAGCGAAATTGGCATGTAAAAACCACTGAAAGATTTTTATAAACTTGAAAACATTCTCAATGTTCAATGAGAAAATCTCAACCCAGACATATATATTATAAGTCTTAGTTATGCCTAGATAACAAAAAGTAAAATCAGAGAAACCAGAATCCAAACTCATGCTTTCATTATTGCCTTAAGAGCAACTTGTATGTATAATCCACAGTTCACAGACCATAAAGACATGACAAACGAACTCACCAAAAAAACCATGTTTAGTGATAAGTTTTGCAAGTATTAATTTCAATCCTGTGTCTTCCCAGGTTCGTCTTCTTTGTTATTGTAGCTAATGCTTTACAGTCTTTATTTTTATTTTTATAAAATTTTATAAGACGCTGTTAAAGTATAATAAACAAGATATGAGGTAGGTACCTCAATGGACTAGAAATCCAGAAAGAGATCAAAAATCCAAAACTAGACAGTGGCAAAATATGTAAAAGATAATATTCCCTTCCCTGTGCCAAAATAAATAAACTATACAAAGTTCGCCCAAACTCCCTCTCAATTAAGTATGAAGAAAAAAGAAGTCCTTAGATTCCTTAAATGTTGAGTGACCTGCGTATTAAACTCCCTCCTTTATTTCCTCAGGCTCACCTAAGTTTCAGATTTCAGGGCCTATATATAGGAAAAAGAACACTTTGATAACAGGTCTTTTTCTTACCTTGGTGAATGGTGAGGTAAAAGTTGTTTGAAGATGCATAAGCTTGTTTCATATCAAAAAAAGCAAAAAAATTGTCGACAGGAAGAAATTATCAATTTTTTTCTCCTTAGGGGGGACAGGAAGAATTATCATTTTCGGTGACAGAAGCAATTAGGGACCAAGTTGGTTAGATGCTTAAGATAAACGTATGTTAGGTGACATCATCGCTTCATGGTGATAGTACCAATTTCATTTATGTGGGCATGTGTTAGGAAAGCAATAGGTGGTGTGCAATCATCAAGATCAATAACAAGGTGCCTGTGCAATTCATTTGTCTCTACCTTCCTAAAGCAAAATCATTAAATTATAATTGTTTGAAATGCAGTATCATTAAATTGTACAACGACACGGTTGCTTGAAAGTTATGAAATTATAGTCACAAAAAGAAGAGCTCTCAATATGAATGTGTTGAAAAAATATGAAAGATGCACCACCTCAATTACCACAAGAACATCAATATAAGCATCAACCTCAGTTTCTACATTCATTATGTTGATGTGACATTTTAACCTATTTGTTATTACACCTTAACCCCCATTATAGGAAAATGTTATGCATCCACCAATAGAAAGAACAGGATTGGTCTCTAACCTATTTGGAAAAAGACTTGCTCTATTTCATTTCATGGCAAATTGTTCAATACTTAAAACTACGACTTCCTATAACATAAACGGGTATATACGAAATGGCAGTGACTACTTGAATCGTAAGAACCGGTACTATGAACTGCAAGCCTGTATATAACATCAAAAAGTATTTGAAAGCCTTTTACATAAATAACTGTTATTTTCCTGCTTTTAAATAAACTCGTAGAACTTCTCCATTCCACAGTAAATCAGGTATATATGAAGTTCACATTTGCTATTATAATCATAACAAATACTAAAAAATGCATTTAAAAGCATTTGACGATTTGAAAGAGCTTTTCATGTTATGGAAAATAATTCCCCTGCTCAAGATATCTTATTATCCCAAACTTTTCCGCCACTAATCCATCACAACATATCAATTAAGTTCATTAAAATGTGGTTTCTATTCAAGTAAGCTAATTAAAACTGGAATTAGTTGGAGTAATATCAAACACACTATATTTCTTGTTTCACATTCTATTACTTCAAATATCTTCTCCTAAGATATCTTATCAAAAGTCTTTTCTCCATCCATCCAGCTCATAACTACCAACCGCCTAAGACACACCAAATTTTAGCCCGTTTTAATAGCCCTATTAAATGCAAGAAACGTCAAAATAATTGAGTAAGTCATAATATATAAAGAATAATACTACCCATACAATATTTTCATACAACATTATATGACAAAAGATGATTGAGTGAAAGTTTAATTTTATTTTAAAATCAGTTAATCATATTTTACCATATAATATTGTATGAGAAATGTTGTATAAAAATGTTGTATAAAAATGTTGTATATGTAGTATTACTCATATATAAAGCATCTGATCACCATAGACTTCCATTAGAATAATACTACATATACAAACTCTTCATATAAACTCATTCATACAAACTGATGTGTTTAAATGTAATTGGGTGATTTTTAATTATTAATAAATTAAATAATTAATGTTGATGATGTGTTAAACATGCAAAATAGCCATATCAGTCTGTATATGTAGTATTAGTCGCGAAAATTAGATACTCAAATAACCAAACAAACGTCTGAAGGACCAGAAACAATCACTATCAGAAAACAGCAACCATCATAATAGGGGACAACCTTACCGTGACAAGTTTTTTCTAGCCTTAATTATAACCCGCAATCTCACAACAATAACATTCAATACGACACTTCGAACTTAAATAACTCCTAAGGGATGGCTATATTGCCAAACCCAGTAACGTTACCTAACAATCCCAAATTACCAATCCGGTAACAATAGCACACCAGTAACACAGTATGCCCCACCCCAAAAGTCAATGTTTAGGTAAAACGTAAAGTCTTGTAACATTTGCTATATTTATAACTTAATAAATCATTGCGACAACGACCCGGCACCGTAGCACAGTAAACAAATCCAAGAAAGTAACCTTGATGGTAAATTGATATAAGGAAAGGAAAAGAATTTTAAAAGTACCTGTAACACCAATAGGGGATACGTAGAGATCCCGCCGGAGTAATCCACCGTCGGAATGAGCTGCTTGAGCTCCAAAGTGGGCGCAAAGTCACCAAAATCATCAACAACAGAAGGGGTTTCGGCCTCAACAAACAAGACGCCTTCAGCATTACAATCAATCTCAATCCTCCCATCTTCGTCACGCTTTAACCGTCCAGCCATGGGGTGGAACGGCACCAGGGCCTTGCCGAGAGCCTCCTTGAGGACCTTACCATCAAAGAAATTTTGGGCCCCGGTGGGCCGATAGAAGTACACGCTGGGAGTGTGAAATCGGGGAACCACCAGGTCCACGTTGGAGTTCCACAGCGATATCCTCGGAGTCTCCGCCGACGGCGGGACCATCGTCGACTCCTTCACGGTGATTATCATTTTAAAAAATTGCGGGCCGTCGCCGGGCTGAGAAATCGAAATTGAAAAGTTCGAGTTAGCTTATAAATGTAAAGGAAAGTTGAAGAAGAGTCTAACATCTACTGAAATAAAGTCAAGTTTCTTGTGAGTAGTACACAGCATCCGTCTCTTTGACAAATATACGCAAGACACTAAGACAGTATCACTAGAATAGACAAAAATTAATAAATAAAATATCAACATATTTTAATGTTTATTAAAATTCGAGGATTTGATTCATTCAATTAGCGAGTCCGCCATGAGCAAATTGTATAATTTCACGCTAAGAATTTTTAGCCCCAAATGTTTAGTATTTCACAAATTGGCCCTTCTAACAAAACTCTGATTCCACTCCCAGAATCCATTACACGATGAATCCGCCCCCGAATATATTATTTTTTTTTTAATTAAAAAATTAAAAAATAAGCATGGGAAATGTTGATGTTGATTTTGGTAGTCTGGTATGTGGGTCCCGTAACGGTAGGTACGTTGCAGCTATATTCTAGGTGAAGTGAACAGAGTAAAAAATTTCTCAGTTTCCCTGAAGAATGTTGAATTCCTCGAACTCAGTGAACAAACAATGAACATCAGAACAAAGTAGTTTCGTTCTATCTTTCACGGTTTAAACATGATTTGGAGAAAGAAAACAAATCAAACAAAGAATCAGAAAACAGAAGAAGATGAAGAGGAAGAAAGAAATTGAATTACCTGAACAAAGAAGAAGAAGAAACAGAAGAATGGATGGATGAATGAATGAAATGTTAGTAGTACACAGAAAGAAGAAGAAGAAGAAGAGCGTTTAAAACAAAACTTGTCTTCTTCTTCTTCCAAAAAATGAAGTTACAGAAGAGAACTAAATAATAAGTGTTGTGTTCTGTCATTCACCTACCACCGCCTACTAAAGCTGACCATAAACCAACTGCCACGTACGCACACCCCCAATACTCCTTTATCTTTGCCAACCCACACTCATTATTTTGCTATGTTTCACCCAACAAAAGTAATCTCTCTACAGTCTAGAGTCTACTCGATCAACCTCATCATCAGGTTAACTTTATTTTCCCTGAGGTTTCCTCAAACAACAATATTCCCGCAATGTATCTAAATAATTTATCGAGTAAACAACTTTCTCCCACCCAAGGTTTGCCTTAATTACACTTTTCTTCCCAAAGTTAATATTCCGTCACTATCCAAGCCAATATCGACCAATTCCAGTTGTAAAAGTTCTTTTTGTTACCATCATTTGAATTTTCAATCTCCTCTCTACAAAACCTTTCTCATACTGGCATCTGATTTCTTGTCGATTGTCAACCATTACAAAATTAGGGTTTCCTATTCTTGTCTGATTTTCAGCTAATTTTAATAGCGAATATTCAATCGGTCATCACCATTTGATCTACTGGCCTCCACTTTATAATAACCCTCTCACCTTGGATCCTAATAACTCACCTAACGCCGACTAAGAAAGTAAACTGTATTTTGGGTATTAGCGAAATATAAACATCGGATAGGAAAGTGATATTTTGAAACATTTTAGATGGGAAAGGTCATTAAAGCAAATCTTGGGTGGGAAAAAGCCGTTTACTCATAATTTACCCCTTATCATCAATCTTCTATTAGGATTTCGGTATTTAAGTTAACGAAACTAGTGTACAATGTATGATTAATCCTATTTGTCATAAAATATATCCCAAAATTCACATCTCATATAATGTCAAATCTTATTTAGCATTATCATATCATTCACCAAATCACCACTTTATATACGTGTCAAGGATTAACCATCATTTAGAATGAGAGTTTTGGGATAAATTATTTTAAATATGTAGCACTAAAATCTCAATGGAACAATGAGAATACGGAGTAAATCGTTATTTCTGATATCTGAGGGGCAAATTGTTACTCGAGGAAACCTGAGGTGTAAACTTTTTAAACTCTTTCATCATTTACTTTGTCTTCTCTTGTGTTCTTACTTTTGAATGATCTATTTAACGTTTTAATTAAGTTAGATTAAGATAACCAATTTGGTATGTGTTCACTTTCTTACTTAATCTAATTTTGAATTCCATTGTTTTTGTTCGTTATTGAAATTAATCTTTCTTTAGTTTTGTATTCAATCCACTCTATTTTTGTATTTGTATTATATTTCTCACTCTTCTTAACTTTTTATTACTACTATGTACCAACTTATTTTTATTTTCATTTTTAGATTTCTTTAGTTTGTGTTTGTGTATGGTAATCAGTTTTGTTAATTTTTGGTTCTCAAAATTTAGGGATACTTTACTAACCCCCTGCAATTTCCCTACAATATATGAACACCCTTTAGTTTTAAATAAAACTTACTAATCCCCTAACTTTAATTTTTCAAGAACAGTTTGGTAAATGATATGATAATAGCTAGATAAAATGTTACATCATTTGCAATAAGAAATTTAAAATACAATAAAGATGGGCTGATAAACCTTCTTACTAATTTTCTTTCACAAATACGACGTAACAACTCGCAATTGGTTAACTCGTAATTGGTCAGGCAGGATCCATTGAGAATTGCTACATTGCGTTTGTAAGAAAAAGTTAGTGAGAAGAGTTTCCAAGCTTAGTATTATCCTTTAAATCTTAAGATAAGCAACATTACTCTTTCTACAAGAATAATGTTACACAATTTTTTTATCCTAAGTAATGATTTTGTAAATGATATAACATGATACATCATTTAGTATAACAATTATGGAATACCTTTTAACTACCACTGGGTGGTCTAATGGTAAAAGACAAGGGATAGCCACGGAGGCTTTTACTAGCCACGGAGGCTTTTACTGGTCTATAATTTTAAAGTTCTAAGAGATTAGTTAAGATGTATGTAAATTGATCTAAATATCTCCGATGGACCACCCTTTGTCTAATAATAATAAAAAAAAATTATAGAACATATGTTAGAATGTGTAACATAACTCCTTATACAAACACCATTTAAGTGTCTTTATATATTGTTTCCGAAACTTGCGTCATCTATGACATAATTTTTTAAAAAATTATGTCATCCTAGACTCCTAGTGATAATATCCCATTGTGAAAGTGGGGTTTTTATTTCGGGATAAGCACAAGGGGTTTGTTGTACTTACCCTTAACTATATCATAAAAATATTAATTAAAGTATGTGAATAACTATACTTCTAGTTAATAAGAGAATTTTATTTTTATTTTCCATTTTAAGAAGATGAAGTGTGCATATTAAATGTAAGCAAAAGATGTTGGAGTGGATATTCCCATATAAAATAAATAAAAATAAATAAAGGGTGTTGAAGTAGATAATCCCAATCAGGTCCAAAATAAAAAGAAAAAGAAAAGAAAATGAGAAGAAGTTGGTGAGACGGTGACCTAAGATTGGAAAAGGGAGCAAGTGCCTAAATCTTGCCACTATTGAACTAACTTTATTTTATCTTTATCTTCATTTGTTTGGTAGATTTTTATGTTTTTATTAGTTCCACGCAATTGTGAATTCCTTTTGATCTCACCTAAACCCAGATGACTCTCACTTTCGTCATCATGGAGTTGGTGAGATTTCCTACTGGTTGGTGACCGAGGGTGTTTGAGTCAGTTTACGCACACTTCGACTGCTCTTATAAGATCCTAAAGTTAACGACTGGATAAACCCTTAAGCAGACACCTTTCGATTGCTCTCCCGAGGCTTTGAAGTTAACTATCAGGGTAAATTATCCTATGGCCACCCCTCGGTTGCTCTCCTGAGGCCTTGAAGTTGACCAGCCCTATTAGTAATCTAGTGGAATTGAATTCAAAACCTCTTAAATAATATATCCAATAGTCTCTATCGCCCCCTCAGTCACCTAATGGTGGTTTATTATTAACATTATATTAATAGTTTATTTTATTTTTCCCTCAAGATTACTTAATATTAAAATCATCCACTTTGTTAAGAGCTTATTATAACCCTTATAAAAAGTTTTTGATAATTTTATAAAGAGATTTTTGCTATTTTTATTGGAATTTTCAATAATTACACGGATGTATTTTATACCGAAGTGGATGAGTATTGTAAGCAATCTCACACCAGAAAATGAAATAAACTCTTACAATTAATATATAAATTAAAAAAAAAAAAAGTTGAATAGACACTAACGCCCTTGAGGTTTTACGTAATAGCAAAAATTCTTTGAGATTTTCGAAATAAATATTTTCCTAATATTATTAAACTGTTAGAACATATATTTTACATCTTCGAGTTAATAAAACATTCACATAGGGGAGTTATTTTTGTTATTTAATCAAATCTGAAGGAGATTTATGTCATTATTTCTAAAATAAGAATTGTTATTTTATCTCAAATTGTATCCAAAATCATCCACGTTAGTTGACACAACTAGATAACGAGTCAAAGCAGATTCTGTGTTCATTCACTTACTTAATATTTACTATTATTAATTAATTATTAATCATTACTTAATTAAACCAGTCTCCGTAATTTTAGGTATTTTAAACTATTATTATCAATTAATCAAATTAAGTATACAATGTCTCATTCATTAATATCAATTAATTTCAATGTCCCAATCTCATATAATTCAATCATGTTTATTGGTTATAGTTACAATAAATAGTTTGTCATTGTCATCTCTTCTTTTGTTGCTAGACGACAAACCCTTTAGTCATTAGAGTTAGCTATATTCAAAGAGTCTTGTGTTCAAGTCATAAAAGAGGTATCTACCACATTTATACAATTATCTTAGTCTGTTAGGCTTGTAAGGTATTCTGTGATCCTGATGATTAGATTGGATACCTCAATTACCTTAAAAAAAAAAAAAATAGTTTACTATTGTTAAGTAACATAAAAAAATGTTATATTTTTAATATTTAGGAGATACAAGTCTAAATTTAAAGAAAATATAAATGTTTATTACTATCATTAAAAATTCAACTATATTTAGGGTCCCTTTGTATAACATTGTTAAGTAGAGCTTATTGAAAAAGAGCATTGGTGAAAACTTTAATAGTTGTTTAGTTAAGAAGACGTAAAGAGTTTTCTCATATTATTTTACCAAAAAAGGCTTTAACATACAAGAGTAAATTAAGTCTAATTTATAAAATCAAATAGGGATATTTATGAAATTTCAACACTCTAAATAAGCTCGAAAGGAACTTATGGAACGAAGCTTCTCCAATAAGTTGCGAAATAGTTTATTTAAAATCTTATATAAACACGTTTGAAATACAATTGAACAAATCCCTCCCTATGTGATCGGATGACAAACCCATTAACCACTTAGATTAGGTATACCCAAAGAGTCTTGTGATCGAGTCTAAAAGAGATACTTATCACATTTGTACAATTACTTTAGTTCATAGGGCTTATAAGGTGTTTCTTAGAGTCTTGAAGATTAAAAAGACTCTAATATCTGCTTAGATATCTCATATACCTTAAAAAAAAAANATTGAAATTAGGTATATCTAAAAAGTCTTGTGTTCGAGTCTAGAAGAGATACTTACCACACTTATACAATTATTTTAGTTCATAGGGCTTGTCAGGTGTTTCTTAGAGTCTTGATGATTAAACAGACTCTAATATCGACTTGGATACCTCATATACCTAACTAAAAAAAAAAAAATACAACCGAACAACATATAAACTTATTTAGCCAATAAATAAACCTAACCAAACAAGCGCTTATTAATTCCAGTTAATTATCTATCACCGACACTAATAGTTAAAATTAGCATTAAGTAAAGTTTCAATCAAACTTTTAATTAATACCATATTTAAAATATTTTGTGCGTATAAGTTTATGTGCATGCTTTTACAATTATACACATGGTGAGATCTTTAAAGTTTATGCATTTTGATAATCATTTTAAAAGGAAATGATGGTCTTAATATAATGGTGATAGACATAGTTGGTGTTTATTTTAATTATTATTCAATTGAAAATTTTCAAATTTTAAATGATGTTGGTTTCCCTTTTGGGCCATCAATTTGACTTATAAGTAAAGAATAAAAAGCAGGTCCTAGAAGCCTCTGAGTTGTTGGACTCAGTCAAGATCAAGTTATGGTTAAATTAGAATTAAATCATTCTATATTGTAAATAATAGAAAAATAAATAAATTTAAAAAAAGATATATAATCCTTAACATGAAATTCCCAACAACGAGATTGGGCTTGGATGGGCCCAATTGGTAGACAAATAAAAAATAAACAGTATTTGATTGTTTACTCCCACATATTTTATCATTCAAACTCTCTTCAATTTAAAAGGGGAAGTAAGGTTTTTATTTTTATTTTTTATATTATAGGAATGTTTGGGCTAATTTACACACATCTCAACTAATCTTTCAGGGTATTGAAATTTTTGATCGGATAAGAGCTCAAATGACTACTCTTATTGATACTTGGAGACTTGAACTTAAAAGCTCATATAATTTTTTTTACTATTTTTACCATCAGGCCACCCAATAATGGTTAAGGGGAAGTGAGTTTTTGCTTCCATCAAATTGATAATTTTAACCTTAATAAAAATCTCTATAAATAACATAATAACTTTCAAATATGCTTATACTTTATCTTTATATTTTTGTTTTAATTTTTAACCTTTAATTCTTAATTATAAACCCTAATTCTAACTCTTCTTAATCTTTAATTAAGAAATTGAGAAAAAATGGTGTAAATAAAAAACTTAATTAATAGGATTTTATGAGTTTTTTTTTTTTTTTAATAAATATAATTGTTAATGGAATATAGGTATACGAATTACGAAGGATTCTAAGAGATAATTATTATTAGCCTCGTATTATTAATTCAGATATGTATTAATGTCGTGTTTCTAAATAATATATTAATAGTTGAAATTATTATGGAGAAGAGTAATGCTATGTACATTAACCAAATTATACTAATCTAAGTATTAACAATTGAAATTTTGAAATTTTTCTTTTTCAGTTTTCGAGGGGAACTGACGTAGTAATAAGAGAGGTCTGTCACGTCAGTTAGTACTTGAGTTGTATGGTTTTTTATTAGTGCACATAACATTATTCTTATGACTATCTAGTTTCTTTTCTTCAAAACCAGGAAAATTAGGAGGATGCCACTCATCAAAACCAGGAAAGACTGATACATAATGATCAAGAACAGGCTTAGAGGTGGCCACAATGCATGGATCATCAGTTCTTTGTACTATGAGGCGCAGAGCTACCAGAACCGGCAACATGAATTTGCATTGAAACCTCATAGAAGCCAAGTCAGGGTTTTAGAAACCAAGTTAGGGTTTAGTTAAAGAGGAGCGCTCTTGTAATTTTTTTGTTTTTTTGTTTTTTTGTTTTTTTTGTTTGAGATAAACCTAACAAGAATGAACTATTAAACATACTTCCTAAACGGAAAGAAACCCTAAGGATCCAGGCAAAAGAAAATTAAACTGAGAAAGATAAGACAAGATGAACAATTTAGATATATTGAATAACAAAGCACAAAAGAAGAATTAAAACTAAAAAGGAGAAACAGTTTAAACCCATGAAAAGATAAAACAAAATTAATGAAGAGAAACCAAATAAATAAAAAAAGGAAAGATAATTCGATTAAAGAAGATAAACCGTATAGTTCTTGAGGATGATAATCATAAAGATTATGTTCTACAATATTGTTGTAAGGCAAAGCATTGTTCAGACTTTGTTGCTCAAGTAATGAACAACCAACTCCTCGTCAGTTGGGTAGAATCTATACCCTGGTGGGAATATGAAATTCCTTGCAGCCAGGAAATTAAAATTCTCCATGTTAATCTGAAGAATTGATATTGAAAAACTACTAAAGCCTTGAAAGAATTGATGTTGAAAAACTACTCAAGCTTTGTTTATGTATAAATTATTTCTCGACAAATTAATTCAGTGTTTTTTTGGCATTTTTCTATTCAGCTTAGGAGTTGTATTTCGTTTACAACTCAAATAACCTATAATTACGGAGTTAACATATTCTAGATTATTTTTCTCTCCAAGTAAATGGGGGCATTAATTATAAGTTAAATCTTGATTAATTTTTTTAATTCATAAAATTTACCCTTAAATTTGTAAAGTCGTCTATCATATTTCATAAACTTGCCATGAAAATCGAAGGTTTCTACAATACATAATTGCTCTCTCCCAACTTGTATTTTTTTTGGGTTTCCATCGCGCATTTTCTTTTCGATTCCCTGTTGTTCATTGCCATTGATGTTTTATATTAATGCTTCTTATATTAAAGTTCTTGCTATGACGAGCTTAATGTGACAAGAAGCCGACGTTTTTGGTAGAAGAAGAAGCTCTTTAAAATAAAATTAAAACAATAATTTTTCATTTTAAAATAGAAAAAAAAATATATAGAACTAATTATAGTAACAATTTGAATTAATTAAACGAAAATGTAAGTTTAATAAAAACAACAACAACTAGAAGAAGACTAATGACTCTAAGTTTTGCACACTACTTAATTAGGACTATCTGGTTTCGTTCCATCAAGCCAAGGAAGATAAAGATTAGGATCTTGTGGCTGGAGATAAAGATTAGGATCAATATCAAAATCAGTAACAGAAGGCTCAGAGTTGATGGAACTATTATTATCTCCCACATCGCATTGATTTATTCTTAGCATTGGAGGCGCAGAGCTAGGCGTACCAAAAACATTATCCGGCACAAAATTGGTAGAATCAACACTATCCGTGGCATCACATCCATTAGCTCCTTGCAATGCAGACGCCGCACAGGTTGAACCAACGTAATTTGCGGCATTGCACTCGTTTGGTTGAATCGAAGGCGAAATGCCTATGGAACCAACATAATGTTGCCCATTGTATTGAGTTTGTGTCCAGGGAACAAAGTTTGTAGAGCTAACGTTATGATAATTAGTTGCGTCCATTGGCTGTGCAGCTCTAGTTGAACCAAAATTATGATGTCTTATCTGCAATGGAGGCAAGACGTTGATAGGACCACCATAACTCTGCAAATTGTATTGATGATGATGATCAGTTCCTTGCAGGAATGGTGCAAAGTTTTGATAACCACCAGCATTGTGATGAGCTCTTTGCATCATTGAGGCCACTGAGATTGCGGAATCAAGATTATGCTGCAAATTGCCCCCATCATTTCCTTGCATTTGAGGCTCCGCGCTAATAGAGCTAGCACCACTGCTACTAGCTGCTTGATTCTTGTTCTTTGATTTGTGATTCTTCAAGTAGACCTTGCACAAAACCCAATCGTCCAACTGCCCAAAAAATAAAAAATAAGCAATATTTATATTATTACATACGGGTTGGGATACTTGACTTGAACAAATCTCAATAATTAGACCAAATCAAAGAACGATAATTTACCTTCATGTTGCTGTCATCAGGAGTGGCATTTGATCTCGAAGCGGCTGCCTGACTTTTTTTGCTGTAAGTCGGTTTACTTGCAGCTGGAGTGCTATGTTGATCCATTACATATTCATACATGATCCAGTTAGTCTTTGTTGAATTTTTATTGCTGCCATTATAATAGACCAGGGATCTCTTGCTTGCTACTTTGATATTGTTTACTGTAACCGGATGATCAACCCCAGTAGCCTTCCAAAATCCGTCGACGGCCTGTCGTTTTGGCCGGTTTCCATGTGGGTACTTCCGGTCCCTTGGAGTGAAGAAGTACATGAACTTACCCCCTTCCTTCTTGTGCGAATCTGCATTCACAGAATTTATATATATAATAAAACATAAATATCATTAATTTAAGCCATGAAGAATTTGTTGGATTGCTAAGAGAGAAATAAAAAAACAGTTTACTTAGAGAGCTATAGTAGTCAAAGAAAATCAAAGAAAAAGAGCGATTAGAAAATAATATTCTTTTTATGCGACAAATTAATTCTAATGAAAAACTCAAAGATGTAACATACAATAATTACGAATTTTAAACAGTAGATTTATGAAATTAAAGAAGAGAAGCGGTTTTGAATTCTTTTTTTTTTTTTTTTAATTAAATTTTCATGTTCTAATAATGCTCAAAAACAGAAAAAAATCAACTTGAAAAGGAAAAAAAGAATTAAACCCATGAAAAGATAACAAAAATTAATGAAGAGAAACTTGAAAAAGGAAAGATTAAACTAATTAAAGAAGACGAACTGTATAATTGTTGAGGATGATAATCATAAAGATTAATTTCTTGAATGATGTTGCAAGGCAAAGCATTCTTAAAGATTTTGTTCTTCAGGTAGTCGACCACCAGTTCTTCGTCAGTTGGGTTGAACCTATACCCGGATGGGAATGCCATGTTTCTGGTTCAACTTTCAATTAATTAAACAAAGAGGAAGATTATTGTTAAGTTTTGTTGATATATATATCTTTTATCTTCTAATTAGTTAATTAGGAGTTGCATTTCCATTTATTTTAGGAATTCTATTTGGTTTACAAATATAAGTACCCTATTATTTCTGAAAGTATATATAAATTTAAATTAATTTTTTTAATCATTTTCTTCCATAATATATTTTCTATTTTGTTATAAACATCTATCATAAACGAAGGCTCTACCATTCCCACATATTGATAATTCATTGATTCTTCCTGGAGAAGGAATTTCAGTTTCTTTTCCTTTTTTCAATTATTTTCACCTCCCTTAATCTGTTCATGTCTTTCTTGATATGATATTCCATGAATTCTGAAGAAGTGAACTGATATTTCAGAAAATATTCTTGTGAAATTTTGTTTTTCTGAATTAGAGCTATGATCAAATCTCTGGTGCAATGAGAAAGCGTTTGTCAAACAATTCGAAGAATTATTCAGATTATATTGATAACGTTTTGGAGGGAAAGACAGTTAACTAAAAACTAATCACCTAAATTCACGCCTTAATTTCCGGAGTTCGTTGTGAGATATCTAACTGCTGCCAAGTCAGCATAGGGCTAAAACTAACCATCCTCTTCAATATTCAACTATTACTTCTTAGCTGAGTTTAAATGAAAAAACAATGGAATCACTGTTTTCCATTGTTTTTTTTTTTTTTTTTTTTTTTTTTTGGTTACAGAATACGTGGCTTGCCTTCTGCTCCTAGTTAACCCAAGATCTCTTTTTCCTTCGTAAATAACAATGGCAAATGGCACGGACGGACCCATAAATTAATTTTAAAGGGGACAAATTCAGAATAATATAATAGAAAATAGAGGGAAAGAAAATCAGTGGGGTAAAATCTAAAAATTTCAATACAAATACAGGGTAGTCAAAATGAAAAATAAAACCAAATGGGGTTACCAGCCCTTACTCATCAATATGTAGGTCCGTCCATTAGAACTGATACTCATTACAACAATTTTTTTTTTTTTTTTTTTTTTTTTTTTTTTTTTTTTTTTTTTTTTTTAATGATAATGGGTGTTCGAACTAATCGTGCACATACCTTAGGGTTGTCTCAAGAATAGATATTCAAAAAAAATTTATAAAAAATTTGGGCCCCTTTTGGCCCTATTTTTTTGGGGCCCTGAGCAGGTACATCACTTACCTACCCATTAGGCTGGCTCTGGCATACCTCAACTAATCCCTCGAAACCTTAGAACTACCGATCGGGTAAGAGCTCCAGTGGCCATCCCTATTAGCAACTATGGGGACTCGAACATACTAACTTACATGCACCTCAACTAATCATCTAGAACCCTGGAACTATCGGCCAAGTAAGAGCTTCAGTGACCATCCCTATTAGCAACCATGGAGACTCGAACTTTGGCCACCCCTATTAGCAACCGTGAGGATTCAAACTTGGGAGGCCATGTTAGATCTTCCTCTTACTCTTTTACTATTAAGGGGACTCGAACTTGGGAGACCATGTCTTTGCTCTTTTACCATTAGGGCCACCTGGTAGTGGTTTATTCATTACAACTTTGTTAAGAGTACAAAATATATATTGTAGGAAAGAGACATATATGTACATATTAAATAGGAAAATACTACACCCACAACACCTCTTCTCACAAACTTCCTGACGTGCTAGCTTGCAATTGGTTAGCTCATAATGGGTCTCACCTAATAAATTGCAGCTGACTAGTTGCGAGCTGTCACATCGGGATTGTGAGAGAAAGTTTGTGAGAAGAGGTTGTGGGTGTAGCATTACTTTATTAAATATTTGTAATTGGAATTGGCCTAAGCATTGATGTCATGCACGCTGAATCATCGTGTGTGGCTCCTAACACTAGTTTGATGTTATGTACGCATCGGTATAGTCATTGTCATACTTTAATATCGCTCATGTTGGGATATGAGTATTTCTACAACACAAGTAGAGATAAATTATGTTAGAAAAACACCAGAAATTGTTCGTATACTAATTCCACAATATATACAATACAATATGTTGATGCTTGATTTTGACATCAACGACTTTGCACGTGCAAAGTGCTAAGAGATTTTTAGAAACTACACGTGAGATGATTATGAGAGTTGATTATGGTGCTGAGATGATATATGTTTGAAGAAACATAAATAAAAGATTGACAAGAGAGATTTTATAATGGTTCAGATGCTTGAAGCAAATCCTACATCCATTGTTATTTTTTTATTCTCTGCTATTTTTCTGATATTGCCTATAAGGCATACAAAGGTGAAGTAACGCCTTGTTTACAGAGAAAAATAATGGTTGAAAGCTCAAATGTATGCCTAGCTCTCATATGCCCAGCTCCTCTTCTTGGAATAGAGGTGCCTATTTATACCTTTGAGCTCAATGTAATTAGTGTTTTTGCAAGTTGTGGGGACACGTGGAGACCCCTCCATAATCCTTATCTTAAAATGGAATATAATTGATATAAATGCTCTTAATAACAGCTTAGGTTGGTTTGTTTTAACAACTAATGTTATTTTGTCTTTTAATTCGTGTTGAACTTTAATTGGTGGGACTGACAGCTCATTTTGATTGGTGGTGCTAATGTCAGTGTGTATTTTTATCCATAATAGAAGCCCCTCCAGTTTTTGGAGTGCATAATCATGCTTCAAAAACTCATGTCTTTGATTTGAATGGCTGTTGCACTATTGGTTGCAGTCTCGAACTGAAGAGCTCAAATTACACTTGGTGTGATTGGGTACTGAGATCTTGATCTACTATAATGATTTGAGAGCTAGGATTGCGCTCTAAGAGTTAAGAGCACCCTGATAGCTGAGAGCTGATTGGGATTTGAGAACTGGGAGCTGATCACAATCTAATCGCTGACATAAAACATCTAGAAGATAAATCCCTAGAGAGAGCTGAGCGTTAGAAGCCCAAATGTGTAGTTCAGAGGTCCTAAACAGACATGCCAAATTAAAACAACCATAACTTTTCATTCGAGAGGATTTTTGGAACTTGTAAGAAGTCAACAGCAAGCTCATTTCAAGCTCTATGTCGTGGCAACCGGTTAACCTTGTTGGTTTGTTTTCAAGGCCAAAATCCACTATTTTGGCATGTTTTGGGGCCGTTTTAAGTTTTCTATGCTTTTTTTTATGCTAGTAGTTGATTGCAATCTGAGAACTAAGAATTGATCATAATTGGAGAGCTGAGAACATAATCTGAGGTTGTTCACAATCTTAGAGCTCAGAGTTGATTGCAATCTGATAGAGGCTCAATTTGAGAGCTTGAGGCATGTGATCTGAACGATCTGAGGTTCATGATCTCGAGATAAGGAGCTTGATCTGGATTGCGCGATCTTAAGCAAATGAGTGAGCTTATGAGCTCAATTAGAGAGCATAGAGAGCTTTGATCTGAGAACTAGAGAGCTCTTTATGCTCTGAGAGCTTGAGAACTCTTTGCGTTTGAGAGCATAAGGAGTTCGATCAGAAAGCCTAGGCTTGATCTGAGAACACAAAAAGTTAGAGACAGAAATCGCAGGGCTTGATCTGAGAACACAAGAAGTTTGATTAGAAAGTGCAAGGCTTGATCTAAGAACACAATGAGTTCAATCAGAAAGCGCAGGGCTTGATTTGAGAACACAAGAAGTTCGATCAGAAAGTGCAGGGCTTGATCTAAGAACATAAGATTTGAAGGATCTTAACAATTTGAGTGCTTGGAAGCGCGATCTGGGCACTCGAAGGCACGCAATCTGGGTTCTCGAAAGCATGATGTAGGCTTTCGAAAGCATGATCTGGGTGCTCAGAAGCACACAATCGCAAGCTGATGAGTGAGATCTTATGAGCTCGATCAGAGAGCATAAAGAGCTCGATCTAAGAGCACAAGGAGCTTGTTTTGAGAGCATAATGAGCTCTATCTGAGAGCGCAAGAAGTTCGATTTGAAAGCGCGAAGCTTGATCTGAGAACTTGAGAGTTCTAAAGCATGTGATCAGAGAGCTCCGAAGCATGTGATTTGAGATCTCTAATGCGTGCGATCTGAGAACTCTGATGCGCGTGATCTGAAAGCTCTGATTTGGAAAAAGCTTCAGTATTTTGACGATAACTTGAGCTGTAGACCTCGAATTTGGATGATTCTTAGACCATCCAAAATCTAACTTGAAGGGCTACAGTTCTTATGTTTGTGGCTTCTCTAGATTCAGACTTTATCTTGCTCAAATTTTTACATCTGATAACGTGATTTTAGAAAAAGAAGCTGAAATTTGATAAGAAGTCAAAACTTGCTGAAAGAAGTTGAGACTTGTTGGAAAAACGTGGAGAGCTGATGTGAATCTTGCTCTTTCTGTAACGCCAAACTATTGACGCTTGATTTTGACACCGGTGACTTTGTACGTGCAAAGTGCTAAGATATTCTTAAAAATTATACATGAGATGATTATGAGAGTTGATTATGGTGCTGAGATTATATATGTTTGAAGAAACATAAATAAAAGATTGACAAGAGAGATTTTTATAGTAGTTCAGATGTTTGAAGCAAATCCTACATCCACTATTATTTTTTTTTCTCTGACTATTTTTCTGATATTGCCTGTAAGGTATACAAAGGTGAAGTAATGCTTTGTTTATAGAGAAAAATAATGGTTGAAAGCTCAAATGTATGCCTAGCTCTCATATGCCCAGCTCCCTATTCCATGAAGAGAGGTACATATTTATACCTTTAAGCTCAATGTAATGAGTGATTTTCCAAGTTGTGGGCACACGTGAGGACCCCTACCTAGTCCTTATCTTAAAATAGGATATGATTGATATAAATGCTCTTAATAACAGCTTGAGTCGGTTTGGTTTTGACAACTAATGTTATTTTGTCCTTTAGCTCTTGTTGAACTTTAGTTGATGAGACTAACTGCTCATTTTGATTGGTGGTGTTGATGTCAATGTGTATTTTTATCCATAACACAATACAACCATAATGG